CGACAGCGGGCATCTGCCAAAGTGACCTTAACTGGGTACCCGTGTTGACCTTCCGGGTCTCATCGGCAGTGTCGGCGCTCTCGTCTCAAGCCGGCGTGCTGCTGCTGCTGGCGGTGGTCGTGGTGGTGGTGGGGTTTGTCCCGGAAAGTTTAACCTATCGCGCCTCTCCCGATCTTCGCGAGCCGGATCCTCTGCACCCCTTCGCTATTGTGACGTCGTCGTCGTCGTCGTCACGTGTGTAAATATGTACAAAGGTGTTCGTCCGTTTGAGTAGAGTTCAATAAAAGTAACGGGATTCGTTCAATCCGCGTGTGTGTGCATGTGCATGTGTGTGTGTGCGTGTGTGTGCGTGTATGTATGTGTGCGTGCGTGTGCGTACATGTGTGTGTGCGTGTATGTGCGTGTGTGTGTGCGTGTATGTATGTGTGTGCGTGTATGTGTGTGCGTGCGTGTGTGTGTATGTGCGTGTGTGTATGTGTGTGTGCGTGTGTGTGCGTGTGTGCGTGTGTGTGCGTGTGTGTATGTGTGCGTGTATGTGTGTGTGTGCGTGTGTATGCGTGTGTGTGGGTGTGTGTGTATGTGTGTGTATGTGTGCGTGTATGTGCGTGTGTGTGCGTGTATGTATGTGTGTGCGTGTGTGTGTGTATGTGTGTGTATGTGTGTATGTGCGTGTATGTGTGTGCGTGTATGTGTGTGTGCGTGTATGTATATGTGCGTGTATGTATGTGTGCGTGTGTGTGCGTGCGTGTGTGTGTATGTGCGTGTATGTGCGTGCGTGTGTGTGTATGTGTGTATGTGCGTGCGTGTGCGTGGGTGTAGCGCGAACCTGGCGCCCTGGGTTCGATTCCCGCTCACGGCCAATCACCGGTGACGATTATCTGAACCGGTCCTGGGCCTCCCCGAGGTCGACTCAGCCTCAAATGAGTACTTGGTGCGATGTGCAGTAAACATCGCCATTGGGGAGACAAAGGCGGCCGGGCCTGGTGCTGGCCACCCACCCCCCTCGTGTGCCGTGCCGGCCTTCACAGGTGCTCCTCGCTAACAGCACTTGCCCCTTACAGCCTGTTACAGGCTACACGGGGGATCTTTGTCTTGTGTGGGGAGCGGTGGTGCAGCGGTTAGCGAGCTGTGCTACCAACCCGGCGACCCGGGTTCGATTCCCGCTCACGGCCAACACCAGTGACGATTATCTGAACCGGTCCCGGGCCTCCCCTAGGTCGACTCAGCCTCAAATGAGTACCTGGTGCGGTGTGTAAACATCGTCACTAGGGAGACAAAGGCGGTCGGGCGTGGTGCTGGCCACCCACCCCCTGGTGTGCCGTTCCGGCCTTCATAGGTGCTCGCTAACAGCACTTGCCCCTACAGTCTGTTAAGGCTATACGGGGGATCTTTGTTCTTTGTTTGTGCGTGTGTGTGCGTGTATGTATGTGTGCGTGCGTGTGCGTACATGTGTGTGTGCGTGTATGTGCGTGTGTGCGTGTATGTGTGTGCGTGCGTGTGTGTGTATGTGCGTGTGTGTATGTGTGTGTGCGTGTGTGTGCGTGTGTGTATGTGTGCGTGTATGTGTGTGTGTGCGTGTGTATGCGTGTGTGTGGGTGTGTGTGTATGTGTGTGTATGTGTGTGTATGTGTGCGTGTATGTGCGTGTGTGTGCGTGTATGTATGTGTGTGCGTGTGTGTGTGTATGTGTGTGTATGTGTGCGTGCGTGTGCGTGTATGTGCGTGTATGTGTGTGTGTGCGTGTATGTATGTGTGCGTGTGTGTGTGCGTGTGTATGTGTGTATGTCCGGCAAAACAACCCCCTACCTCCTCGCGGTGCCGGACGGGCAACTCTGTCGTGGACAGTGCTGTGGGGGGAGTTCCAATTTTGATTGGCTCCTCCCCTCATGGCATATGTGTCCACCACAGGGGCTAAACGGGGGCTCTGGACGGGTGCGAGGGGCTGGTAACCCCTCCACCTTCAATTAATTACCACAAAACCACGAATTAAAGTGAAATATGTAACAACTAAGCTTGTGCCGGAGGCCCCGGGGGGCCAGGCGTCTATGACGTCTCCTGGCCAAACCCCAATTGGCGGAGCCAGGAGATTGAATACCTACCCTCGGGGCTACTCCAGAAACAACGAAAAGCCACTACGGGTGGCCACGTGGAATGTTCGAACGCTC